GGAAGCGACGGCAGACAACAAGAAATGCTAAGTGGAAAGAGACGCTCCTGCCACAGCGACCATGTGCACAAGGATCTCACGTAGCCCAACACGCCCGGCAGGACTCCGCGGGCTCCTTCTCGTTCCTGTCTCTGGGCCCCAAAGCTGCGAGAGACATCCCGGCTGCCTCTTCACACTGACTTCATTGACCACATACGGCCCAGCGGAATAGTCTTGGAAAGCGTCTATTTTTCAAGCCAATGTAAGAAGTAAATATTCCCAGTAGAAGGCAGCGCTTACCTACCGCCAGTGGCAATGCTCAGGGACACATGTTGAGCCCTGATATGTAACAAGCACTGTGCCCGGTTCTCTAAGAGCATGCTTCCTATTTATTTCTCAAATGTGGTGTTCTGTGATTTGGGGGCCTGACAGCTCCTTACCCTAAGGAGCGCCCCGTGCCTGCAGAATGTTTACCACCCTTGTACTCTACCCGTCTGTCAGCAGCACGCCTGCACTTACAACAATCAGAGGAGACCCCAGACATGTCAGTGTCTCTCTGGGGGCAAAACAGCTCTTTCCCTCCAGCTAAAAACCAGTTGTAAAGTATCAGTCAGCATTTTCACGCTGCTCACCTGCTTAGAACCCCACGGACTCCACAGTGTCCGACGTCAGCTGCCTTCCAGTGGGCTCCACCTGCTTCTCACCCCCTGCAGCTGCCCACACTCAGCCAGCACACAGAACCGTCTTCTCCACGGTCCTTCTACCCGGGGGTTCGCGCTTCAAGTGAACTACCCCCACAGGCGTGTCCTTACTCCCACCTAAAATGACCCTTCATCCTGTGACCACTACCAAACTACAAAAATGTAGTTTTTAGAAGATTTTTATATTCGTTTTTTTATTTTTTAAAGAGAGTACAAAATAGTATTAAAACAGAAAAAGTACAAGCGATACACAACTTCACTAAACAAAGTAATAAGAATTTCCCAGTATTTGTTGTAATGCAGTGTTGTCTTCAAATTAGTTGTTCATATTACCAGGTATATGCATGCAAAATTGAAAGAAGAAAAAAAGAAATAAATATATAAGAAATTAAGAAAGAAAAAGGGACAAAAATTTAAAAAGAGACAAAACAAATTAACCATTAACTGCTCCTTTCCATAGGCCAGCTGAAATCCACAGTACGAATGTCCAAACCACCACACAGATACCTCTTTCTCCCACTCCCTCTGCTGTCTTTCTCCTCAACTCAGTACTTCGTTCCTTCTGAACAGCTTCCTTCCCTTTCCCCAGTACCTAGCGGACCCTTCGGATTTCATTTTCTCTTTCAGGCTCTCACGCTAAGGAGACAACACGATGTTTGCACGCGCGGGTCTGATTTATCACACTTGAGACTACGGTCTCTAGTTGCATCCACTTACCAATAAAAGTCTCGAAGTTATCCTTTCTGTAGCTCTCCTAAGCCCTATCTGAATGCTCGCTCAGGACTTCGGACACCCGAGCACTGGGAGTCCGCAGGGTTCTAAGCAGGTGAGCAGCGTGAAAATGCTGCTGACCGACACTTTAAAACTGGTTTGTGGCTGGAGGGAAGGAGCTGTTTTGCCTCCAGAGAGACACTGACATGTCTGGGGTCTCCTCTGATTGTTGCAAACTGCAAGGGTGCTGCTTTTTATAGCTGAGTTCCACTCCATTGTGTAAAAATACCACATCTTCTTTATCTGCTCTTCAGTGGGTAGATAAACTGAAGCCCTTAATACCGACCACATTAGCTATGGCAAACTGCGCTGCTACAACCTGGGTGCACATACATCACTGGGGACTGAAGTCTGCAGTTCTCCAGCAAAAATGCCAGGAGGGGAGAGGCTGGGTGAATGGAAGCCTCAAGCCTAGCATTCTGAGGAATCTCCACATTGCTTTTCACCACATGTAACTCTTTTAAGCCCTCCCAGAGGGTTCCTTCCCCTTAGTGACTTTTTCTGCCGTCCTCGGCAGAATCACCTGTCTGCTGCTGTGCCCTCCCAGCACACTGTATCTCCTTCTCTTTCTACCTTTATTTTACGGCCACCTGTTTCTAAGTCGTGAGCCCTTGATAAAAGAGAACATACATATGCACAGTAACTCGCAGGAAACAGGGCCTACAGCAGGCCTACGGCAAATGTTTGCTTGCTAACAGGTTCATTCAACGAATATGTATTGAGCTCACACCACATGTGCAGCAGGGAACAGGAGAACAAAGTGCCCGTGTGATGGTGCTCACAGCCTAGACATGCATCCACCACACGTGCCCTGTGCTGTAAGGGCGCCGTCCCTGGTGGGGAGACTATGCACTGTGCCCCCACCCTGAGTATGAGAGTGGGACAGACCCAGAACAAGGGGACCAGGCTGCTGAAAGGCGAACTCGCCGTGCAGTGCCCCCCTAACATGCATGCAACAGGGCTGCAGCCGCTGGGTCCTAACCCTTGCAGGTGATTCATTCTCCAGAGCTCTGAGTCAGGAAGAAGCGGATGTATAATAAAAACCTGACTGTTAATCAAAGGAAGGCAGGGGGCAAAGAGGAAGTAACCTGAAATGGTCTGGAAACTGTGTCCCTGTGACTACTCCTCTAGGGAAGTGGAGGAGAGGATGACACAGAACCAGGGTCACAAGGAAACCACCTGGCACCTACTACTCCCGGCCACTCCACTGGGACCAGTGATGTCTCCGGGGACTATGAGTCCCTCAGCCTGTGGCCCCAGCACCTTCTTCTAGTAACCACTTTGGCATTCAAAGTCCAAACATAGCAAAGTTAAATAAACAATAAGGCTCAACCACATTTTGGCTGCCTTGGAAAGCAATGGCTGTTTCCCAGGCAGGCTGAGGGGCAGAAGCCCAGCTCACACTGCCAAGAATACCTGAGGATTAGGGGTGTTAGCCTGGAGGAGGGTAGAGAAGGCACAAAGGCCCTGAGTTTTAGGGTAGGTTCCCTACACGTACAGCCTGCAGTGAGAACTGTCCCCGGGACTCACTGGGGGAGTGGAAGGGAGCGTGGGATGCAATCTGTGACAACAACCACAGGTCGGCAAGAAAGGAGTCCCAGAGAGAGACTGCTGCAGCCTCACCCCTCAGGGGACTCGGCCAAGAGCCGTACCACAGAGCTAGACCCACCTCGCGGCCAAGGACAGCCTCACACAAGCCTTGGTCCCTCGCTCACTAGTCAGCTTCTGAGGGGGAAGGGCGCTCCTGTCAGCCAGGGCCAGGCTGCCAAGCGGGGCCAGCTGTGCACCATCACCAGCCAAGCCCCGCACTGAGCAGGGCCCATGGTGCCCACCATGCCTTACCTTTACACATAAATCCTGGATGGGGAAAGGCCAACACCACAGAGCCTGGCAACTGCAGGGCCTACAGCCTCCTCAGAAACCCTTGTCCCACAGTGTCTCCTTTGTGAAGCAAAACAAAGTGAGCTTTGACAGGACCATCGGCCAGGCCAGCCATGGGAGTGAGTGAGGTTGGGGGTGGAAGTCACTTCCCAGAGTGGCGGACTGACCCCAAGCCCTTGGCACAGGCTGCCCTGTGGAAGCCACAGTGTAGTAATGTCGCAACACCAGCACCACCCCCAGCAGAAAGGAAGCCAAGCCTGGGATCACAGGAGGGGGGTGCTGAAATGAAAAAGAATGGAGTAGGGAAGGAGTCCAGCTGGGAGAAGAAGGGGAGAGTGTGTCCCAGTCACAGGGGATGCCACCACCCCTCCTTCACAGCTACACTTCCGGCTCACGCCTGTCCACCTCTCTCCTCTAGGCACTGACCCCCTTTAGGAGCTGGGTGCCTCCCCAGATCTCCTCGTCCACCATGAACTGCTTTCCAGGAGAAACCTGTCAGACTCCCTCAGAGTTTCTGGGACCAGGCAGATTGTGCCTCATGCTGTGAATTCCCTCTAGGAAAGCTAATGAAGGGCAACATGCTTAGCCTTTCTCGGCTGCGTGGCTACAGCAGCCTTTCTGGCCACAAAGGAACAGCGGATGCCCAACCATCTGTGGTCCTGAGTGCAGCAGTTGGGAAGTGCCTGAGGACAGGACATGCTGCTGCTCAGAGGCGGGCGCTGACAGTGTACAGCTCGGACAAGGCCTACGACGGGGGCGGGGGGTAAGCTGGGCAGCCAGCTGCTAGGCCCAGATGCCCGGGGCCAGGAAAGGGGCATGCTTAGAAGCCAGGAGGCCTGCCTGGAGTGGTGGGGGCAGGGGCAACCCCCAAGGCCATCGTGGGCCTGTCCTAGAGCAAGCTCTTCATCCCACATGACTACCATACTGGACAACACAGATCTAGAATCAAAAAAGCAATAGTAGTACCAATATTAATAAAGCAGGAGCAAAACAGAGCTGACATTTAACAAAAGCATACCACTTTGCGGGCATTGTTCTAAGCATATCAGCTCATTAAACAGGCTCCACCATCGTGGATATATACTAAATCAGTCATATATATACACTATACACACTGAGTCTCTTGTAATGTAAAAGTATTACTAACTTCATTGGCCAGTCATGGCACCGCGTGCCTCTAATCCCAGAACTTGGAAGGCTGAGGCAGAAGGATTGCCATGAGTTTGAGGCCAGCCTGGGCTACAAAGTGAGCTCATGGCCTGGCTGAACTGCATAAGCAGACTGCTTCTCAGAAAAAGAAAAAAAAGCTAACTCTACTATACATTCTGACATCATGTGTTTTCTGTCAGTACTAAAATCTTAATCACCATCCATAAATTTTAGTGAAAAAAAAAGTCTTTATATTCAAAAAGACTAGGGACGTAAAACAGCAGAGTAAGCAGAAGAAAGGCAAGGACAAACCCTTTTCTTCAGCTTATGGCTCCTACTCCTTTCAACCCCTGGTTTAGCTTCCCTCTACCACAGAAGCCAGATGAAGGGTCAGTTTCCCTCCCTTCTTCGTTTCGGGTTTCTGCCTTTGCAACAGAACCCACCACCCCCGGCCCGCTCCCACCCGCACCCACAGTGCAGCCACAGAGCCACGGCGCAAACGTGGCGCGCGGCACTCACCTGAGCACATCTCGCCCTTGTAGCGGACGCAGGAGAAGTCATCGCACTCACAGTACTTGCCGGTGATCTTGCCGAAGTCACTGCTGTGGCAGAGGCACTGGCCACAGAGGCACTCGCCCCGCTGGCTGCACGCGGGCTGGCCCTCCCGGGGGCTGCACTCGTCCTGCTGAGCGGGCCGATAGTCCTCCTCGGAGCACTCGCACTGGGCCCCCAGCCAGCCGGGCCCGCAGTGGCACACCCCACACTCGAAGGTGCCATTGCCACGGTTGCAGCGGTGGCTGGAAGGCTCAGCGTAGGCCTGGCAGGCGCAGTCGCAGTCGAAAGTGACCTGGACGGTGAGGCTGTCCTTGAAGCCCACGGGCTTGATGGTGAAGACCTTCTCCTTCTCCTGCGGACAGCCACGCACCTTGGCCTCAATGCTGAAGCTCACCTGGACAGAAAGCAAGATGGCATTCGGACCCAGGTTGAGCGAGGCCACGGGCCAGGCCAGAGGAGAAGCTGTGCCCCGCCCTGCCAGAGGACGCCACAGTGGGTCTCCAGTGCTCCTGCAGTCGGGAACAAGAGCCCTGGTGTAGCTGCGATGTGTGACATATCTGGCGAGACCCAGAGACACAGTTACAGCCCAGAAACAGAAGGCTGTTTAGTACCACGTGTGAACTAAACCAGATTCTGTGGTCTTGTGAACACTTCAGCTCAAAGTAACTAAGCCAGTTGGGCTGACTACTGGATATCAACAGACCCAAGACACTGTGTTGTACCATGCTGTGCCACAGTGGACAGCCACAAGCTGAGGAGCCACTGTTCAGTTTCCACAGAACATTTCATTAAAGGCCAATACTGCCCACAGATGCTCCAAGGCAAGGCGCAGCCAGGGCCCCGCCTGCAGCTCCAGCCCCGCCCAGCCCGCCTCACCGTGTCGCCAATCTTGAGCCCCACACAAGACTTGAGGCCTGGAATGACTTCATTGTTGAGGCAGGTGGCGTTGAAGGACAGAGACAACTCTTCAGGGAGGTCACGTACTTCCAGCTCTACTTTAGAACGGATTTTCTGAACAGAAAAGAGAAAAAAAAAAGTTAAGGAAGTGAGCTAAAAGCAACAGGCAGGAGCCAATTCCATGCCGAGGAAACTGCTAGGCGGCCGAGGCCTCGCCCTGGCAGTGCTGGCTGCGGCTGTCTGCCAGCTGCCAAAGTGCCCTAGGAAACTGTTCCCCCTTCCTGTCCCCACTTGGGTCAAAATAAATCTGACTGAAACCTAGACCCTCCTGCAGGCCCTATGGACATGCAGCAGGAGTGCTGGTGCAGGTTACCCTGAGTAGCTGCACTTGCTATCTAATTTTTCACTTCCCTAAATTGGGCATGGTGGTGCACACCTGAAAGGCCAGCACTCTGGGAAGCTGAGGCAGGAAGACTCAAGCTGGAGTCCAGCCCAGATAACTTAGCTACTTAGATGCCAGAAGAAGAAAGGAGGGAGGAGGAGGAGGAGGAGAAGGAGGAGGAAGAGGAGGAAAAAGACGAGGAAGAGGAGGTGGAGGAGGAGGAGGAGGAGGAGAAGAAGAGAGCCAGCAAGATAGTTCAGCAGACTAAGCACCTGCTTAGGCAAGTGCAAGGACCAGAGTTCAATTCCCAGCACCACATGCTGTGCCAGGCCTGCCCCTAGGCGCGCTGGGCTAGCACTGAGTCTGGGCGCGGTGGCACACACCTGTAATCCCAGCACTGGGGAGGCTGAAAGCAGGAGGAACACTTCGAGCCCGAGCTGCCTAGTGATACCCTGTACCACATAAAGAAAGAAGGACAGAAGGAAAGAAGGAAGGAAGACGGAGGGAGGGAGAGAAGGAGGGAAGAAGGAAGAAAGGAGGGAAGGTCCTTCTCACCTTTTCAGGGTGAAAGTCCTAGGTCCCACGTCCAGTACAACAACAACAGCGCCCTGACCTTTCCCGTGGCTCCCTTCCACTCTGTCCTTGGAGCCTGGCCTCCCTCACTGCCTCCTACACCCGCTCCTTCTCTATCCAATCCCCAGACCCTCCACTTCGGCCCCTCCGTGCCAGCCATTCAGGGTCCCTGTTGTGCTCTGGCATTCCGCACTGGGTCATCTCTTTCTCCGAAGACCAAATCCTTTCCCAGTTCCTGCTCAGCCTCTGGGAGCCCACAAGGAAGACAGCAAAGGTCACGTGGGAACCAGCGGCCAGCACACCCAACTCTGAGCTCTGTGGCGCGTGTCAGGCCCAGAGGACACTAACCCCGTAAGCATTAACGATGAGCTGGAGGACATTGCTGGAATCCGCAGAGAGCACCCCCACTGTGGTCCCCGGGATGAGCTCACTATAGTTCTAGAAAGGAAAACAAAGATACTTGAAGTTTAGCGAAGGAAGGTAGTGAGGTCTCTGCAGCACATCAGACTGAAAGCCTTGATGCGAATATGCAGGAATATAGGGGAGCCACTATTAGGAATCTAGCCAGCAGTTGTTCAGTCCTGGGCAAAACTGCAGAAACCCTTCTATCCTCTCACCACACTGAGTTACCTCCGTCCATCACTGCAAACATCCACATCTTTCCTAGGAAGTTTGAGGGTGAGGGAAAAGGGTCACGGGAAGGAAACTTAGGTACCTGGGGAATGGGCTGAACCACTGCTTGGCCTGGACCGTTGCCTATGGTGGCATGGGTGGCACCCGGGATGAGCCCACACAGCACAGGACTTGCCCCCAAGAAGCCCCCAAGGAGGAGTTACCTGGTAGAGCCTCACTACATTTTCAGTCACTGCAAAGATCAAATTGATGTTATTCTGAGATAGCTTCTCAGTCATCAGCCCCAGAGAGGGGTAATCCTAGAGAAAGGGAAGATGTGAATGTTTTACAAGTCTGACCGAAATCTCTGCATTCTAGGCCTTTGATCTTGACTGACTGGGGTCTCAACCAACACAGCAGGGGCACTCTCGAGTTTTCACCCCGAGGTCAGATCAAGGCGCCATGGTTGGATTATACTCCGCAGCATATTCCTCAAGCGTTCCGGCGTTCACATCTAATTCCCACCACAAGGCGTCAGAAGACTGGAAACTTAATCTGACCGCGGGGCTTGGAGGCACAGCCCTCGGGGAGTGGTGAGGATCGGATATGGGGTCCCACGGCTCAATCCTGCTGCTCCACAGGAAAAGGGAGAGAAGTCAGAAGAGGCAGGCGTCACTCTGTGTTCTCTGGCTGTGCCATCTGACGCCTGCACCGCGTTGTAACGCTGCCAGCGAGGAGACCATCACCAGGCGGGGCTCCTCCACCTGCACCTCCAGAACACTGAGCCAACGTCAACTCTTGTTCATAAATCCCCCAGCCTGTGGTGTCATGTGCACCAGCAACCAAAAGGGGGCTCGTGCGTGAATAGGAAGGATAAAGCGGCAAACTGGCCCAACGGTGAACTGCAGGTGAAGAGGCTCCAGCTGGCGGCATCAAAACTAAGCCCCCCCCCCTCCCACTCTAATTCAGTGCAGTCACAGCGCGAGCGCTTCTCACCTTGGGCACCAGCTTGGCTTGGCTTGGCTGTCTCCGAGACGCTCACGAGCACCTCGGCCCTCCTCCTGGGGCCTCCACCAATACTACAGAGACCATTTTCCCTCAGTAACTGCAAGGGGCACGATACTCCAAGACCTGCTGCCCCGCCGGCCCCACCAGAGGCCCTCGGGCATGTGCTGGAGGCTTGACACTTCCAGTAGCACTGACGAAGGCAGAACCAGTGACAACACGGGCCACAGCCGAGACAATTTCCAGTAGCTGTGCCGGTTGTACCCCACATGCGGGTGTCCTGTTGGCAGGACAGGGCTGCCATCTTCACAGTCACCCAAAGGTATTCGCTGGGCGAGGACAACCTTAGCCATAGTGGGCTACAGCTATGGGTGACGCCGGGAATCTTACCATGGTAGTGGAGGCAGAGTAATGATTGTCACTGCCAATGTGACACTCCCCGTCATTGGGCTGGACAATGCCGGCCAGCCGGCCATCCAGCGCTATATGGGTCTTGGCATCAGTAGTGAACACCAGCAGGTGTGACGCATCGTTCCTCCAGCCAATCTTTTCCTGTTTAAAGGCAAAGGAGACAACTTCAGCCACGTCTCTAGTACAGACTAAGGAGCCAAGGACTGACCCGCCCCAAGGGAGAAGAAGTTCATCCAAGTGCTAGAAGTCCAGAGTAGAACGTCCCAGTTCAGGGGTTTGTGTTCTCTTTGGACAACAGTCTCACAGCTGATTAGTTCAACCGGTCAAATGACACCTCAACTCCAAACGTAATTCTTCAATGCCAATCATGTTGCCCATCTAGAAACCCACTTTCACTCACAGAACAGGACTAGGAGAAATCTCATGGACACATTTGCTTTCTCTGCTAATGTTGCATTAACTAGCCTTGAGTCTGAAGTAACTCTGGAGAAGCTGGGAAGGCACCACCCCCCTGAGAACGTCTAGGCCAGTCGGCTTCCAGGAGATGCCAGCTTTGGCCAGGAGTGAATTAGAAGCAGAGGCCACATATGTGAGGCAAGTTACTATCCACAGTAAAATTCTGCTTAGACCTCATCTCTTTCTTCCCCCAGACATCCGCAGGATGAGCCTCCTGCCTCCACGCCGTGCTCTGTGGTCTGTCTGGTGCCCCACACTCACCTCACAGACTGTAGCCTGCATGATGGCATCGAAGCCACCCTCCGGGGCATCCCGGTTCCGTGACACGCTCTGTCTCCTCACCTCCTCATTGAAGCGGTTCATCTGGTCAGTCAGTGTCAGCACATGCTTGTAGCCAAACATGGGCAAACACGGGATCTTCATACTGTGTAGGGATGGGAGATCACTTAAGCAGACACGCCGACGGGGAAGACAGCAATGGGGGGGGGGGACCAGGAGGGGAAAAGAGAGGCAAGCATGGGCGGCAGCAGACCCCTCAAGCTACCTGAGGGCCTCACAACAACCTAACCTGAGGGGTAGGAGGGCGGGCTGGGAGACAGACACCTGTGTACAAGTACCAGCCACGGAGCCCCGGGCACGCCTCTCTGAGCTTGGCCTGGACATCAGGCACCTACCTCGGGAGCACGGTCATGAGGATGAATGAGTAAAACACACCAACAATGAAGCAAGAACTGTTGCTATCACCTTGATCAACACTTCTCTAAGTAAAACTGAAGCAAACACCCATGAAGAAGTGAAGCCCCTTTAGCCACTAATGAATGAACAGAACCGTCAGACGGAAGCATGGCTGTTTCCAGACTCAAGAGTTCATTTAATTACTAGTTGATGTGTTTACCACCCACACTAAGGTGTAAAAGCTACACTGTGAAAGCTGAAAAGCTAAAAAGTAAATTCACATCTTCTTGGGCTTTGTAGCCATCCTTTTAAATTACCATAACACATGAATTTGCACAGTCCCTATCATTTAAGTAAAGTCATTCAGCTCTAAGTGAAACAGGGGCTGGCGAGATAGCTCAGCGGACTAAGCACCTGCTTAGGCAAGCGCAGCAACCAAGGTTCGATCCCCCACACCACATGCTGCACCAGCCCCAACCCCCTGTGCTGAGCTGGCCACCAAGTCCAGGCAGGGGGCACATGCCTGTAATCCCAGTGCTGGGGAGGCTGCAAACAGGAGGACCACTAAGAGTCCAAGCTGTGGAGTGAAACCCTGTACCAAATGCATTGAAAAAAAAATGTGAGACAGAAGCACAGAGCTGGAACCCCTGGAGGTGGAACTTCTACCCGGCTCTCTCCCCACCATCACCACCAAAAAAACTCAAGGTATAAATTTATTCACTTACATGCTAACAAAAGATTCAACAATTGTCCTTTCCACTCTTACATTCCCCTACGGTTTAATCTCTTCTGTTCTAACCCTGCAGAATCCATGCCTTTGATGATGAGAACAGTGACGACAACAATCCTTCCAAGTGTGTACTTCCTCTGCTTATTTAGCCATAAACTGCCTCTGCCTTCGGCCTCATTTCCTGCCCACGATGCTCACAGGTCTTTTCCCAGGCCCCCGGCACCCCACCAGCTAGGCAGGCTACTCCTTTGCCAGGTGGGGGGCCAAGGCAGAAAGGAGCTACAGTTTGACCAGGCAGTGTCTGCTAAAACATCCCTCAAGCTAGAGACGGGATCCAGGCTGTGGGCCGAGGGGAGCAGGGCTCCCCAGCTTCGGGAGCAGGCACTTACTCATAGCAGGGGTTGGTAAGGGCTTCCGGCGGGGAGATGTACATGTACGGGGACACGGGTTTGTCCACGAAGGCCCCGAAGCCGATCCGCAGGTTGCTGGTAAGCTTGCGCATCTCAGAGGCCAGCTTGGTGCCCAGATTCTGAATGCTCCGCAGGTCGTCCTTCATGGAGTAGGACAAGTCCATGAGGTAATAGATGTCCACGGGGTAGTCCTCCACCTGCCGCACACGGACAGAGAACTGCTTCGCATCATCTGGAAAGCAGAAAGATGTCAGCTGTTTCTCTTCTCTTCCCTTTGAAGACTGGATAAGGTGAGCTGGACACACCTGGGATGAAGGGTCTGCTTGATCAAGCTGAACCTGGAAGCCCTTCGTCCCTCCTCTCCCTCTACAATTCTCTCCTCTCCTAACCTCTTGACCCTCCTATTTCAACCTGTCCTTCTCCATACTAAGGTTTTCCTTCCTAAGTCCCCGTCTGTCTAATCATCCGGGTCCAGAGTCCCACACTCAGACTCAGTAAGAGGCAGGAGCTGCCCCTGCTCTTGTCTGCATCCCCCAGCGCCCCACACCCTCAAAGCCCAGTCGGCCCTCCCAGGTCACTGTCCCTTAGCCTAATGCTTCTGTCTACAGAGCTTTGGTCCCTACTTTGCCCACCACTATGCTCCTGCCCTGGTGGTTCAAAAAGAGCTCACACCTTGCTCTCTCACCCTGGATCACATCTGCACGTCAATACCGAGGTGTAGGTCAGGTGAATTGGGCCTGAGGCGAGGAGGAAGCACTTCCCAGCGCACCACTACGTCAGAAGCGCTGAAGAACTTTCCCAGGGCCAAGTGAGCTTCAAGCTCGGTCATCCTGATTCAAGCCCTAAGAGTTCCAGGTTCCCCTTGTCTTCATTCTCCGCTCCCTCCCCATCCTTCTCTTCCCATCTCGTCCCCATTCTGAGCTAATCATATTTCCTGCCAGACCTTGGCTGTAGCTCACCTACCCCAGTCTTTACCTGCATGAGTCGCGTCCCTACCTGGCCGTAACCGGACAGCAATTCTCTGCGGACTGACTTGAGTAATCTGAGAGCTGTCTCCCGAGCCCTTGCTGCTGAGCGGCCTGGCTTCCAAGACCTGGACCTCACTGACCGGGAACTCAATGGACTCCGGAGCACAGTTATCCGCCAGCAGATTTTCCCTCAGGTTACAGCGCGGTGAGCCCAGAGGCAGGTCCTGTAAGACGGGAGCCCAAGAGGAGGCCCTGTAATCAGGTCTGGGACAGCTCTGCGCTCCTGCAGGCCCTGCCGTCCCCTGTCAGCTTTGAGCTTACCCCGTACTTTGGAGCTAAGCCAACATAAATGACCTGATGTGGTTCAGGGATAATCCCTAGGTCTCCGTATGCAAAGAGGAAGCTTGGGACCAGGGAGACATCCCAGAAGTCTAAGCACTGCCCGGCAGGCACAAGGACCCAGGTTCGAGCCCTGGTACCCCAACCCAGTCTGGTAGTGCATGCCTGTAGCTGCAGCACTGGGGAGGCTGAGACAGGAGGATTACTATGAGTCCAAGCTGCATAGCAAGACTCTGTACCAAATAAATAGATTTTTTTTTTTTTTTTACTTTTTTTAAAAAAAGAAAAAGGAGGAGCCAGCAAGATAGCTCAGTGAACTAAAGCCTCTGCTTAGGCAAGCTTAGGCAAGCTCAGGAACCAGGTTCAATCTCCAGCATCACAGGCTGTGCTAGCCTCGCCCCCTGGACAGGGTGAGCCAGCCACACAATCCAGGCAAAGTGGCGCATGCCTATAATCCCAGCACTGGGGAAGCTGAAAACAGGAGGATCAGTATGAGTTTGAGGTACATAGTAAGACCCTGTAACAACCAAACACTATTTTAAGAAAGAAAAAAAAAAGAAAAGAAGAGAGGGAATGAGGGAGGGAGGGAGGGAGGGAGGGAGGGAGGGAGGGAAGAAGAGAGAGATACTGGGCATGGTGGCGTGAGCCTGTAATCCCTGCACTTGGGAGGCTGTAAACAGGAGAATCGCTACGAATCCAATCTACGCAGTGAGACCCTGTGGACCCTACAGACCCTTACTAAAATAAAAAAGAAAGAAAGGAGTCCCTGTTCCAGACTTGATAGCTTTATTAAAAGAGAGCCTGTATAGTAAGATGCCTGTTGGATGTATTTTTCTCTTTTTTTTTTTTTTTTTTTTTTTTTGGCAGAACCAGGGATTACACTCACTCAGGTCCCTGTGCTTGCCAGGTAAGTGCTTATTCCACTGAGCCATCTCCCTGGCCCTGGATGCATTTTTCAAATGGAAATGCAACTCATTTGTGGAGCTCAAGATCCATTTAGTGGCTCTCAGTCATCATTTCATTAAGTAAAATGAAATAGAATAATACCAACATATATAAACAGCAAAAGTGTTATTTTGTAAAGCTTTCACTTACTGGGATGTAACACATAATGGACAGTGACACACGCTGAGTAACCTTCTGAAGGGCAAGGGCAAGGTCCTTGGAAACTGCCGTGCCAGGTCCAGCCAGGCTGTGCCATCCGTGAGGACCGAGACCGTGCTTGTCTTGCCCCCTTTCTCCTCCCAGCACCCACCCTAGGACCGCTGACAGGTGGTGGGGCGGGGCAGACAGGGATGGAAAAGGACAAGGGATTAGGAGCAGACTGACCCTAACTGAACCCCAGCACTGCCACTCACTACCCGGCTTCAAGGTTCCGGCAAGCCACCCAAACTGTCCAAGCACAGAAGGGCCAGGTTTCAGCCCACGTACCTCGCGCACCTCCCCAATTGCTGGATCACCTCCACTTCCTGGAGAGACATGCGCTACTAGTACCATTCCCCATTAGTCCTATTTTGGAAACCGGGAAAGCGCGGCCTAAACAGTTGCCTTCCCGCTGCCTATTTCAAAGGGTTGGTCAGGGAATAAGAGGAGACTGAAGGCGACATGTTTTAGAAATACAAGATCTCTATACCAGCCAAATACATTCAAGTATATGACTCTCCTTTGGATACACTAGAAACAAATCAAAATAAGTAAGCACAACTCTCCTGCAAGTATCACATAATTGCTGCGCTCACTGCAGGTTCATCCCTGGGCTGCAGCAGGGGAGGCCGGCCTGGGTACCTCACTCCAGAGAGCCGCCACAACGTCTCCACCAGGAATAGGTTCACCACCTCGCTTGGCTGACCTGCTGCACAGTAATCCAGACAGTTTCACTTAGTCCCTCTGGAGACACTGCATATAAGCAACCATTTGAACATGCAGAGAAGCACGGACAGGACAAGAGGCAAGAGAGAAGAAAAGCACCTCATCTCTGTTGCTAGTCGGGCTTCATTGTGTACTAGGAGAAGAAAGCTCTTAAAATTACCCTTTTGGTCCAAAGTGTTTTGTAAACAATGACACAACTCTCAAAATGGACATATTTGTAAGTAGAAAAAAACAGCAGAAAAGCCAGAATACAAAGATGTTAGCAACTAAAAAGAAGCTATCTAAACCTTTCCCCCGTGGTTGTGGACAAGAAGATGAGAAGGAAGAGCTGCTGGAGTCTCCTTCCTGCGCCCCGTCTTTGCACATCCGACTGTGTGGGAGCGGGCCCTCCTTCCGAGATGTCCTCCTCAGTCCTAGACACAGTCTCCAGTACCTCTCTCTGCCCTAGGTGGCCAGATACAGCACCTGGGCCGTACTCATACTAATAATTTCTTGGGTTTTAGCCCCAGTTTAATTGGCTGTTCTGTATTTCCCTGGGAAGTTCAACTCCACTTCTATTCACCCTGACCAACAACCAGCCCCTTCAGTTAGCAATGTTTGTCCAGCCTGCCTTCGTGACACGGGTTTGCTGAACAAGTCTGATGCAACAAGTCCAGGGTCCGTCCTGGAAACCTTTATTATTATCAAAGCCTTCAGCCAATCCTCATCATCACAACAGTGGGAGAGCTCAGGCTCCAGCACAGCGCCCCTGAGGCCGAGACTACAGGTCCACGCTGCACCAACCTGCAGTCTTCGCTAACTGTACAGACCAGAGACAGCCCCCACCCCAACCCGGGGCACCACATCTCGCTCTATGGAGAACACACCCTATGCAGATCCGCCCAAACCCCACACTCATTCACACTGGCTGTGTTTTCCTATCACCCAGCCAAGCACTCTCCCCACACACCCAAAAGCCACTGTCCTGAGTAACAGGGGAAAACTGAGCCCAACCAGTTGTTTTTCCAGGCACTGCCAGCATTGCTTGCAACAATCAAGGCAGGGGGACAGGGGCCCTGAGGTGCACCCAGCCCCACCCTGAGGTTTGAAGTCAGCAGCTGACCTGTGAGCAGTTAACAGTGGCCCGCACGGGGCAAGTGCTCTCTTAGAGAAAAGACTGCCTCTTTCCTCCCTGGAAGACACGACTCTGAGGCACACCAGGGCCCCCCTCCACCTGCCGCCTCCCACCAGTCGTGGCTGCGGGCATTCACGAAGCCCTGGGCTTCCTCTGCTTTCACATGTATATTCCACACTCCAGGGAACCTCCCGCTAGGCTTCCTGTCTCCCCCCTTAGCTTTCTTTGGTCCTAGCAGTACCCATATCCCGACTGCCTTCCATTCCTAGGCTGGTCCCACCAGTACTTTCACCCTCCCCCAGCCCCTCCCCTGCCCCTCCTGCCTTCTTCCCGGACTCTGCACCAGTCACCTTTTCTCTTGCTCTGTACTGAAAAGGAGGGAATGCAGGTGAAGATACAGCCTCTGAGCGGCGTCCAGGCTTCGCTCTGCTCCCCCTGCACTGCAGTAAGCCTCCAGCCACCCAACCGCAACTAGGCGCCCTCCAACCCTGTTCCCTCTTCTCCAGATTCCTGCTGCAGAAATGCAGCTTCCTTGTTTAAAAAAAAAAAAAAAAGCTTGATATCACAGTGATGACCAAGGCGGGAGGATGCAGCGGAGGAGAAGGGAGGAGGAGGGAAGAGGCTACATCACCATGCCTGGGCAGCCAGCTCAGCCCGAGGGGAGAGGCACCGTGGGGGCGGAGGACGCGCCCTTCTCCCTCCCCCGCGACCCCAGGGACCAGCTCATTTGTTGAGTGAAGTCAGTGTGGCCCAGATGTTGGGCAGCCGCCTCTGGAAGCAGGTCTCCAGGCTGGAGAATCACACGTTAGGCATGCCCCCAGCTCTGGCAGCTCTCCTGTTGGGGATACAAACACAGCCTCGCAGTCCGTCCCTCCCCAGGCTGCCGGAGAGGTTGCCTTTTTAGGAAACCCATCAGATCAGGAAGAGAAGCAGACGCAGAGAACAAGGGCCCACCTGGAGCTGTCCTAAAGCTGTGGAGGGCCAGGCCTCCCTGCTAGACACACAGAAGTCTCCAGACCCTGGGGAGCAGCCAGGCCAGGAGTCAGGTAGCCACCTGCCTGTGGGCAGCCGGTGACTCAGCCCCAAACCCCACCATCGCTGGAAGCTGCCCAGCCACGTCCGCCCCGCCCATCACTACCAGCTCTCGCCAGCTCCAAATTCCCATCAAAGCCACAAACATAGCCATTTCCCAGACACACTCATTCCCTAGGGCCTCAGACACAACAAACCCTCAGCCCAGACACAGCTGGCCCTGTCGTGTCACCCTTCCCTCCTCAGCAGTGGACACACCTCCTTCTCTCAGTGACACCTAGAAGGAAGAGGAAAAGACAGAGAGAGAGAGAGAGAGAGAGAGAGAGAGAGAGAGAGAGAGAGAGAGAGAGTTCCAATCATAAGAGGAAGAGAAAAGATCCACTGAAATACACCACACACAAGTGCAAGACTCCCATTTGTCTGTTTTAAAATTCCAGGGGGAAGAAATAAGCAAGTATCTCCTCCTTTCTCAACCTGAGTCACCTGGAATGTTCTTCTCCAAGGAGGAGCCAGCAAAGGGTACTACTACTGGGAGCAGTGACTACAGCAAGGTCAGAAGTCCACGCAAGTTGGTTAGGGTAGGGAACCGCAATGGACTGTGAGTGGTGTTTGTCTGTCTGTTTTAAGACAGGGTCTTGCTGTGTAGTGCACACTGGCCTTGAACGCCCTTATGATCATCTCAAGCGCATGGTGATCCTCCTGCCTCAGCTTCCCAAGAGCTGGGCTCACAGTCAGGTGCCACCACAACCAGCAATGTCTCCAGGACACCTCCCTTTCACCCAAAACTGGAAAAGATTCATCCCAGCCTCACTCAAAAGGGCTAAGACAGCGTGCATTTGGAAGGGAGAACGCCACGGGTCCGTTGCTACACAAAAGCATCAAAGTCTGTGGAAACAAGGTAAAAGTCCGCGTCTCACCTCATCTGAACACCAGGCACACGCAGGACTCACAGCCAGGCACTGCTGACAAGAGCTCACACCTCGCGTGGTACAGATGTTGGATCCTGCGACAGAGGAGAAAAGGCATTAGTCCCCGACCTCTCACTCCACATCTCTGGCCCCAACTTTGCCCACTTTCCTGAACACCCATATCTACAGCTCTCAGGCACACAGAGCATGTTCTAACCATACCATGAACATTTACCAAACGCAAGCTATTGGTAAGGAAGAAAAATAAGGCCACAGCAATGGCAAGTGACGAGGCAAGAGTGAACCACAGAAGGAAATGGTGTGATGCCAACCTGTAAGTGAGAACCTGAGACCCAGCGCAGTCACAACATGTCGTGTCCAGTTACCTTGGCGGTGCACAGGGCTCAAGGCCAGCACACCAGCATGAACACACAGCCTAAGTTTTGTGGGTGCAGTGGGCAGGACAACTTTGGGGGAGGTGCAGCACTGCTTCCTGGGGGACAGCAGACCTTCTGAAATCTTGTTTTTATAAATACTCAGAGCTTGGAATTCAGTGTGAGATTCTCCAGGGAGGACCAAGGAAATGTTAAAAACAATGTTGACTGTACCGGCTAGAAGAACCGGAACTTGGGAGCTGGAAGGGAGGTCTGTGTTTGGATTCTGCATGCCCGTGTCACTCGCGCATGGCCCCGGGCAGCTCCCCTGATCTTCAAGAGACAACACAGTCATCTCCCAAGGTCTGTGCAAGAATCCAACGAGGCAAGAGGGATGCTACAAGATGTCTTTCAAATGTGAACAACCCTCATACTGACAAAGGGCAGAGAAAAGGCGGGGGATGGACAGGGGGCATGAGCAACTGGGGGAACACCACAGCCCTAAAGCCTGGCCAGGAACAACACCCAGGTACTTTCCCGGAAGCTGTGGTCACTCCTGCTCCTGGCCTCAGCCACCCTCTTCCCACAGTGACCCAGGAAGGAGGCGCTCTTCAATACAAGGAGCAGGCGAAGGAAGACCCTGTCTTCCCCATGGCCCCTGTTATGCTTGCAGTTCCCTTCTCCAATTTTCTACAGGGATTCCTTTGACTCCAGCTGTTAAGACCAGCAAATCTTCCCGGGGAAATCATCCTGTGTTAGACTTTTCCCCAACCCCTCCAAACTTCTCATCTAGCCAAATATCTATTTATTATGGTGTGCCGGAATTCCCCTCATCCCAATACTTGGACAAAAACACATTCAGAAAATGACCTAGGGATTGTCTGTACCTTTGTTTGACTTCTATTAATTACACTATTTTATAACCACATAAGAATGAAAGGCAACTGTCGAAACTCAACAAGCATGGAAACGACCCCTTGAGAGCGAGATCTATGATCTTCATCCCCCAAAGACACCAGTGATTTCTGACTGGTAGAAAATGCAGCCCCCAAAGGTCAAAGTTAATGGCTTTATGGAATATTAACTAGCTCTAAATCCATTAGCTAACTCGTTTCTGCACTTCTTTATGGCCGGTTACAAATCTTCTTTCCTAGCATTGCTTCTAAGCCAATCCAAACGTCTTGCTGGTTCCCTCACTAATCAACTGAATCAAATCTTTGACACACGTGCACTTTGTATTTGTATAGAAATCAGACTTTAGCTCTTTGAAATGGAACTTTAAGGGGCTAGGGATAGCGTTCAGAGGTAGAATGCGTGCTTGGCACACACAAGGCTCTGGGCTCAACCCTCAATGAGAAAGAAGGAAGCAAAGGAGAGGAGGAAGGAAGGAACAAATGATGGAAGGGACGGAGCGAGGCTTTCCAAACAGAGGACCTAACAGAAAAGGCACAGATACATCTTAGCTGGGCATGTATTCTGGGTGACTTACTTCACTTCTCTCAGCCTCGTTTCCTTCAGTGCTAGTATTCCTGCCATACTGCAAGCATTTAAGTAGCATTTGCCTCACGGGGCTACCACCAATATATCTAACTCTCCTGCCAGCTGCCCTGCCTTGCCCGGACCAGCCCTGGTCCTCCCTCAAAGGTGGTAATGAGTAAGTATTTGTTGGAGTCAACTGAAAGGCAGTGAACTATTTCAATTTTGTTTTGTTTTTAAACACTGGGTCTATTTCTAAACACGATACATAGAATTCTAATATAGAGTGTGGCCATGACTTCTTCAATTTCAATTTTCATTTCTCACTCCAAAGCACTAGGTTATTGCAGAATCCTTGAGGCACCTCCTACAAGCTCCAGGTTCCCTCGGAGCCTTGAGTCTGCTGAAGACCTTTCTCAACTCTAAAATACCCAAATGGGATTGCAACAGGATGCTGCTACAAAGCCTCGAGTAACTTCTGCAGTTCCACACTGAGCTGACCACACCTTAGCGTGTATGCACAACCACGGTGGGCTAGGAATTATGGCACTGGTGCCAGGCCTGGTCCCCAAACATCAAAATCACCTGTCAGGCGGGGCAGCCCTCAGTCACGCAGTGCTGTGACAGAAGAAAGCTAGCTGGTCTTCCCAGGGCTGCCAGACTTGGGATGTCTTCACCTTCAGAACCCCGAGTACAACCTAAGGCTTCTCTGGGCAAAGGCTGCCTGGCCCCATCCCAGCCCCCAGGCAAACATGGCCAAGGCCTCTCTTACTTCCCTGTGGGCAGAGTTCTGAGAGGAGTTTCCACGGGGCTGGCATCCACGGGGTGACACTGGGCAAAGACCCCTGAGGCACAGTTAGGGAACAGAAGCACAGGTGACCACCAGAGAGGTAAAAGACAGGAGGAAAGAACCATTGGATTGGTTTTGAAAACTTTCCCAGTCTATGCTCTTATCCAGCCATTCATTCTTAAATTAGCATCTTCTTCAGTCCCTGACTTGCAGCCACAATGCAAAACTGGCCAGATGTTTAAGAACATCAGGCCCCTCCCCATGCGCCAACAGGGCCCCTCCTCAGCAGATGAGCTGTGCACTGAGGTCTGGGCTTCAGGAACTCACGCCTGGAGTCGCAGCTGCCCAGCCCCCTTGGCCCCTTCCTTTTAATGAATCACAGGTTGCTTTCGTGAGAACCAGCAACCTCCCCCATAAATACCCTCAACCCAGTCTTGCCACCAAGGGGAGTTTCCCTGGAACACAGTGGCTGAAAGGGACTGAGTCAGACGTCTCCAAAGGAGACGCAGGCTGACACAATGAGCTGCTGCTCCAGAGCGGCCCCTCCCTCCTGAATGTGGAAGGAGCATGGGCCCCCCTTCAGCCATTCATACAGCTGCTCCTGCTCAGCCTCTGGGGCCCAGATGTGGTCCTGCTGCAGAAGAGGGGTCCTCTACTGAGTGTCACCGAAGAAAAGAACTGGAGAAACCCTACGCCACTCTCTTCTAACCGTGCAGCCAGAGCAGCGGAGCAAGGCGGATGCGCCTGGTCTGCGCAGGGTGGCTGTAAGCATGAAGTGGTGCGAGCCGCGCGACAGCCCGGGACACAGCAGCTGGGGCGCAGAAGTGCTCACGGAATGCTGCTACTGCTGCTCCTATTTTTTGTAGTTTCTGCTCGCAACCTTAATGTCAAACTGTTGAGCACAAGTGAGGGTTTTAATTTTCTCAGTATTTTTTGAAGATACCGTTTTATAGAACACGAGACACAAAGCTAAGTATGCCCTGAACAGGGTGAGTAAGTATGTCAGTGTAGACGCTGTATCAGGGTAAGGTAAAACGACCAACTTGCCCAAACTGGCTTCAAACTGGCGTTAGGAATAATAGGTTCAAAGGTCCAATCTAGGGACCAGGCACGGTGGTGCATGCCTGTAATCCCAGCACTCCCAAGGCTGAGACAGGAGGATCACCATGAATTTGAGGCCAACCTGGTGTACACATATGCAGTGAGTCCAAGGTCAGCATATACTACATAGTGAGACCCTATCGCAAAAAAAAAAAAAAAATCCAATCCAACAGCCAACCATATTGTTCAGTGGGACAGCACCAGCCTGGCAAGTACAAGGTCCTGAATTAGTTCCCAGTACCAAAAAAATAAAATCCAACCTAGCGAGGATAGCCAAGAAATGAAGTGCAACCGAAAAAGAGACAAAGCCAGCCAAGAAGCATGCCTGGAAAGTAGCAGTGGAAGGCTGTGGTTTGGCAATCGGTCTGATTCACAGTCACAAGAGAGATGGAGGGTGGGGAAACTAGAGGAGAAAGAAGAGGAAACACAGTAAGGGAGAGGACGTCAACTACGTCAGGGCAGACTATTTTGAGGACAAGCTGTTCAGTGAGACAGGATGTCAGGACGCAAGGACAAGGCCAGGGGATTTCAGGAAAGAGTAAGTTAGAGTCCGTGGTACTCACTGGGAGAGCAGGAGGTCTGTCCTGCAACACTGCGGACAGCTCTCTCCTGCTCGGCCAGAGAGGCTCCTGGCTGGATCCTCTGACCCCTGGCCGCAGCCCAGACAGGCCCACCAGGACTCTGGGTGATTCAGTGCTTGAGCTCTCATCGCAGTCACCTGGCTGCGTGAGTCACACAGCACGGACGGCTCACGTTAGTGGCCCTGTGTATACACAAGTGGTTTCTCCACACTAAGGTTATGAAGAAAGTTTGCTGTGCTTCCATTGCTGCCTTAGAGGTAGCGAGAGCTCAGTAGCCAGGGAGGGGAAGGAGAGAAAAGGTGAAGTCTAAGGCAGTACGTGTGCTCTGAGCCAAAAGCTCCAGGATCGCCTACCAAAATGCAAACAACCGAATCTCCTCAAGTCTAAGGCTAGCGATAGAGGATGCATCTGATTTCAGAGATTGGCAGTCTTTTAAAAGTGCATCTGATTCAATCAAAGATGACACTTAACACTGGAAAACATTTTTGTGCAGCGTTCCTCTACCACTGTCGAAGTGTGTTGTCGTGCAATTATGTTCCCCAAAAGGGAATGCTGATGACTTAACACCCCAGTACCTACGGGAATGTGGCCTGAATTGGAACTAAGGTCTTTTCAGAGTTTATCAAGATGAAGTCATCAGGGTAAGCACGAACCCCACAATACTGGTGCCCCTTCTAAGAAGAGAAAAACATGCGAACAAGACCTCCAGAGGAATGCCGCGTGGTGACGGGCAGCAACTGGGGTGGCGGCCGGGAGCCAAGGAGCACCAAGGA